CAGGTGCAGCTGGTACTACAGCATGTATGGAGATGCCAGGTGTAGCCAGGCTCACAGTATGGCGGATGCCAGGTGCAGCCAGGCTCACAGTATGTATGGAGATGCCAGGTGTAGCCAGTCTGCATTATGTATGGGAGATGCCAGGTAGCCAGGGCCTACAGGTATATGGAGATGCCAGGGTGTAGCCAGGCCTACAGTATGTATGGAGATGCTGGTGTAGCCAGGCCCACAGGCATGTATGTGAGATGCCAGTTGCAGCCAGGCCTACAGTATAAAAGGGGAGATGCCAGGTGGAAGCACAGGTTCAGACAGGAAGTGGGGAGACGCTGTAGCCAGGCTAAGACATTATGCAAGGGAGATGCCAGGTGCAGCCAGGCTCACAGTATGTATGGGAGACAGGCAACAGGCCCACAGTGCTGGTTAGCGGGATGCCAGTGCAGCTGAGGCATGCAGTGGCTGGCTATGGAGATGTGCCAGGTGTAGCCAGGCCTGCCAGTATGTAAGTGGAGATGCCAGGCTCCACAGGCCTAGCAGTATGCATGGAGATCCCAGGTTCAGCCAGGCCAACAGTATGCATGGGAGATGCCAGGTCTAGCCAGGCCTACAGCATGTATGGAGATGCCAGGTGTAGCTGGTGCCTGCTGGTGCACGACAAGTGGGAGATGCCAGGTGTAGCCAGGCTCACAGCATGCAGGAGATGCCAGGTGGCCAGGCTCACAGTATGTAAGTGGGAGATGCCAGGTAGCCAGGCCTACAGTATGTATGTGGGGAGATGCTGTAGCCAGGTTCATTATGTATGGGAGATGCCAGGTGGGCCAGGTGCAAGGTATGTATGGGAGATGCCAGGTGGTTGTGCCTACAGTATGTAAGGGAGATGCCAGGTGTAGCCAGGCCTGCATTTATTTTTGGGAAAGATGCCAGGGGTGGTGCCACAGGTCTGCATTATGTATGAGATGCCAGGTGTAGCTAGGTCTGCATTATGTATGGAGATGCCAGGTGTCCTGGTGTTCCACAGCAATGGGCGGGAGATGCCAGGTGGCCAGGCCTGCATTATGGGCGGGAGACGCTGCAGCCAGGCCTGCATTACAGGCGGGAGATGCCAGGAAACAGGTCTGCATTATGTATGGAGATGCCAGGTAGCTGGGCACTACAGTATGTATGGGAGATGCTGTGTGTGTAGCCAGGTCTGCATTATGTATGGGAGATACAGGTAGCAGGCATACAGGCATATGGGATGCTGGTGTAGCCAGGCCTACAGTATGTGGCATAGGAGATGCTGGTGTGGGCTTGTGCCCACAGCATGGCAAGGGAGATGCCAGGTGTGTCCAGGCCACAGTATGTATGGGGAGATGCTATAGCCAGGCCTACAGTATGTATTGGAGATGCCAGGTAGCCAGGCTCACAGAGGTATATGGGAGCTACAGGTGTAGCCAGCACAAGCAGTGCTATATGGAAGATGCCAGTAACAGTGTGTGGGAGACAGGTAGCTAGGCTTGGCTGTATGTATGGGAGATGCCAGGTGGGGTCCAGGCCTAAAGTATGTATGGGGAGACAGGGTTAGGCCTACAGTATGTATGGGAGATGCCAGAAGAAACCACAGTATGTGCGGGGAGATGCCAGGTGAAGTCCGGCCCACAGGTATGTGGGAGATGCTGTGTAATCAGGCCCACAGTATGTAAGTGGGAGATGCCAGGCACAGGCCTACAGTATGTGGAGACAGGTGTAGCCACCATGTATGGGCGTGGAGATGCCAGTAGTCAGGCTCACAGTATGTGGGCGGGGAGATGCCAGGTGTGTGTCCTGGCCTACAGTATGTATGGGATGCTAGGTGTACAGTGTGTATTTGAGATGCCAGGTGCTTAGTTCACAGTATGTATAAGGGAGATGCCAGGTGTAGCCAGCTCACAGTATGTATGGAGATGCCAGGTGGAAGTCAGGCCTACAGATGTATGGAGATGCCAGAAATCCAGGCCTACAGTATGTGGCGGGATGCCAGGTAGCCAGGCTTCATATGTATGGGAGATGCCAGGTGTAACAGGCCTACAGTATAAGTGGGAGATTACAGGCCTACAGAGTGGGGCGTGGGAGATGCAACCAGGCATACAGTATGCGGGGAGACAGGTGTAGCCAGGCCCAGTGCATGTATGGGAGATGCCAGAAACAGGCCTGGCAGTATGTGGGTGGGAGATGCCAGGTAGCCAGGCCTACAGTATGTATGGGAGATGCCAGGTGCAGCTGGTACTACAGCATGGGCGGGAGCTGTCAGGGTGGAAGCAGCATACAGCACATATGGGAAATATGCTCACAGTATCGCATGGGAGAGGCCAGGTGTGTCCAGGCCTACAGTATGGGAGATGCCAGGTAGTTAGGGCCTACAGTATGTATGGGAGATGCCAGGTGCAAAGCCAGGCACACAGTACATATGGGAGATGCTGTGTAACAGGCATACAGCACATATGGGAGTTTTGCAGCCAGGCCCACAGTATGTATATGGGAGATGGTCCAGCCAGGCCTACAGTATGGGCGTGGAGATGCCAGGTCTGTGCTCACAGTATGGGCGGGGAGATGCTGTGTAGCCAGCCCACAGCATGCATGGAGATGCCAGGTAGCTTGTACTACAGTATGTATGTGGGATGCCAGGTACAGGCTCACAGGCGTGGCGGGAGATGCCAGGTGAGCCAGGCACACAGCATGTGTGGAGATGCTGTAGCTTGTACCACAGCATGTGTGTGGAGATGCTGTGTGTGCAGCCAGGCCCACAGCATGTATGGAGACGCCAGGTAGCCAGGCCTACAGCACGTGATGGGAGATTAGGCAGCCAGGCCTACAGCATGTGTGGAGATGCCAGGTAGCCAGGCCCACAGCATGTAAGTGGAGATGCCAGGTGCAACAGTCCGTATTATGCATGGGAGATGCTAGGTGTAGCCAGGTGTGGCAGTGTAAGTGGAGATGCCAGCAAAGCAGGCTACAGCATGGGCGGGGAGATGGTAGCCAGGCCTAAGGCATGTATGGAGATGCCAGGTGCATGAAATGCATTATGTGCATGGGAGACAGTAACAGGTCTGTATTATGTATGGAGATGCCAGGTGGGCTTATGGTTCAATATGTAAGTGAGATGCTAGGTAGCCAGGTCTGCATTATGGGCGGGAGATGCCAGGTGTCCCTGAGGTCACAGTACGATGGGAGATGCTGTAGCCAGGCCTGCATTATGTAAGGGAGATGCCAGGTGCAGCCAGGCCTGCATTATGTATGCGGGGAGATGCAGCCAGGCCTGCATTATGTATGGGAGATGCCAGGTGTAGCCAGGCCCACAGGCATGTGGGCGGGAGATGCCAGGCAGGCCAGGTCTGCATTATGTATGGGAGATGCCAGGTGTAGTCAGGCCTGTGCTTATGTATGGAGATGCCAGGTAGCCAGGCTCAGCATTATATGGGAGATGCCAGGTGTAGCTGAGGCTCATATTAAGTGTATGGGAGATGCCAGTGTAGCTGGTGTTTACATTATGTATGGGAGATGCCAGGTGCCAGTGGCCCATGGCATGTATGGGAGATGCCAGGTGCAGCCAGGCCTACAGGCGTGTGGGAGATGCCAGGTAGCCAGGCCCACAGTATGTATGGGAGACAGGTAGCCAGCTCACAGTATGGGCGGGGAGATGCCAGGTAGCCAGGTCTGCATTATGTATGGGAGATGCCAGGTAGCCAGCCTCACAGTATGGGCGCGGGGAGATGCCAGTGTAGCCAGGCCCACAGCAGGCGGGAGATGCCAGGTAGCCAGCCTACAGTATGGCGGGGAGATGCCAGGTAGCCAGGTCTGCACATGTATGGGAGAGCAGGCACAGGCTCAGCAGGGGCGGAGACAGGTGTAGCCAGGCCTACAGTATGCGGGAGATGCAGTGCAGCTGTACCAGTATGTAAGTGGGAGATGCCAGTTGTGCCAGGCTCAAGCAGTATGTATGGGAGATGCCAGGTGTGGCCAGGCCTGCATTATGTGGGCGGGAGATGCCAGGTGTCCCCAGGCCTGCCAGTATGGGGAGATGCCAGGTAGCCAGGCAAACAGCATGTATGGGGAGATGCCAGGTGCAGCCAGGCCTGCATTATGGGCGGGGAGACAGGCTCTGCAGCATGTAAGTGAGATGCCAGTGTAGCTAGGTCTGGCATTATGTATGGGAGATGCCAGGTGTCCCAGGCCTACAGTATGTATGGAGAAGCAGGTCTGCATTATGTATGGGAGATGCCAGGTAAAAACATGTTTTGTAGTCTACTATAAAAATGGTACTGGCTCAGTGATAAAGAAATTATATAAACCCATTAAAACAACTGTTTGAAATAAATAGATTAACACTCACCATTCCACGCTGGCTGTTTGTGTAGATCCCATTTTCCTCTCCCCTGCCACTGATGAATGTCATGAAGATGATGATGAAGGTGGTTGAGGGCATTTGGGAGTCATAACAAGCACGAGGAGGACAGTTGTTCTGAGAGCAGAGTAGCACACGTGCGAGACGGACAAACTCTTAGCCCAGACTGAGGCAGGGAGGCGGCGCGCATGGGCCAGCCTCCCAGGACAAGAGAGACATCTTGCGGGATGCCCCAAAACTCGCACACTCCCCGGACTGGCCGTGAAAATGCCAGCAACTTTAAAATTACCCGCAGATATTCTTGGGTTTCTCCAGGGTGTCATTTGTAAATACTGTATTGTAATTCATAATTCATCATATGCTTCTTAAGTCTTTAATATTTCCATCCATCAATCTTTCCAAAGGTTTTCTCACCTTACATTTTATTCACTTTTTTATTCTTTAGTCAAACATTTCCATTAGTTCTTTACTATAGTGCTGAGTTATTCTATTGTTTCCATTTTTGACTAAATTGTCCTTTGACAGTTTCTGAACACTTCATCATGCAGGCTTATTGTATGTATCGGTAAAATCCGTATCAGCTTATGTTGTATACAGGTACAGTATTTGTATATTGAAATTATGTTGCCTCTTAACATTACAGATGAAATAGAAGCACCCATAGGATACAAGGACTGGCATGACCATGCACGGTTAGCAGCAGAGAGTCAGCAGCATGGTCCAGGAGAGCAAGGTCAAGCCTATAATCTCCCCTCAAAATATCAGAATGAGAAGGACCAACTGTACAAGGTTAATGGGTTTAATGCTGCGGGCTCTGATGATATAGCTCTGAACCGCTCTCTGCAGGACATCCGCCACCCAAAGTAAGTTTACCATGCAGGTATTATATTACTATTACTGCATTTAATATACTCTGAGACAAGTAGTGTTATATTCATTGTACACCCCCCTCCATCCCATAAATAAAATATGGCCATCAACAAATCACAGTCTGTTTCATATTTTGGTAACTGGTACTTTATTTGAACTGTATAGTAGTAATCACTCTTATCTGTCTGACCATCAACAGTTCACAGTCAGCTTCATAACTTGGCAACTGGTACTCGAGTTGAATAAGAATATGCTTCTAGCCAATAACTGCCTGGTCATTATTATATTATACTTTTTCTTTTCAGATGTAAGGAAAAAGTTTATTTAAACTATTTACCAACAGCATCAGTAGTAGTACCTTTCACAATGAGCACTGGACAACCCTGCTACGCACAGCTATTTCTGCGATCAACCGCTCACCAGACTCTCTTCTTCTTGAGGTCATTCTTGTGGATGATGCCAGCACAAAAGGTCTGCAATTCTAAACTGCTTTTTAATGTTGATATAGTCTAAGTGGTCTCCTTCGTGTACTGGTATCCCTAAACTTGTAGTCAGCAGAAAAAGGGATCTTCACCCTTGGTCCTAATGACCTTCAAATTGACCACTGTGACTGAAGTCGTGTTCATTTGGTAGGATTGGTATTTCTGATTGTGTGAAGCAGTGTGTAACAAATATGATATATCCTTTATGTCATGCAATTAAATGAAGGAATTAACTGTAATACATCGAAGACCATAACAAAAAACTTACAGTATTATATTATTATATACAATAGGGTCACAGGCTACGCGTATCCATAGTACACGACCTCGCTTATATGTGTCTGACCCCCTGAATTGCCCTTACGCTTGGGTCTTGCTCTCACATGAGCCAAACCATCCCAGCATCTCGCTAGCTCAGCATGTTTATCACTTGTGGAGTGAACATATTTGTGGGGGCATTGGGCTGTAACTGTGTCACCAACTCGCCACCCAGCTGCACTCCCTCCCCCGACATCATGGTATACTCACACACGTCTCTGAGTCAGCTGAGAGACTGCCTGGCTGAAACCCATCACATTTGGGAGAGGATGGTTTGACTCTTTGTACATTTAAAGTGTTCATATGGTACAGTTGCAGAAATGTGTTCCTACACCCCTGTGGTAACCTGTGTCTCAAAGGGCACCGTCAGGTAGTATAGTCTAGACGTGTTTTTGTGCTCGGTCGGAAAATGTCGTACTGCAAAACTGAACAACGAGTTAGCATCATATTTCTCGTTAAATCTAAGAAATCTGCTACGGAAACTTTTCAATTATTGACTGAGGCTTACGGTGAAGATTGCAAGTCTCTTGCACGCTTTTGGAATGGCACAAACGATTTTCGGATGGCAGAGAAACCGAAAAAAATGATGACCGCCCAGCCGTCCACAAACAGCAGTTCCCGATGACAACATTGAAAAAGTACGAGATGTGATTAGAAAAATCGCAGTTTGGGTGTTCGAGCAATAGCTGAGAAAGTTAAATTAGACAGGGAAAGTGTTCGGCGATTTCTAACGGATGAATTGAACATGATAAACGTTTGTGCAAAAATGTTTCCAAAAATGCTCTCGGCTGAACCTTCGCCAGCCCACAACGCTTTTTCTGTGAAGCAGTTTTTAGCCAATAAAAACATCACTGTGCTTCATCACCCACCCTATTTGCCAGACCTGGCTTCCTGCGACTTCTACCTCTTCCCAAATATCAAGTCTGTGCTCAAAGAAACAAATTTTTTGCCGGTAGAAGAGAAATGAAACAGGACGAACTCCTGAACAGCCTTACAGAACATGATCTGCGGAATTGCTTTGAACTGTGGCAGCATTGTATGCAGCTGTGTGTCAACTCAAGAAACTACAGTACTTTGAATTCAATCACGGTTGATTTTCTTAATTTGGTAAATAAAAAGAGCTACAACATCAGCATCTTTTTTTGTGTGTGTCGGACCTTGTACATATACTGTATACAGGGTGACCCAAATTCACACTTATATGGGGATCCCAGGAACATAACCCTCATGTACTCTGAGATCCCACTGTGCTTCATTGTACCCACATAAGAAATATCTTCCACTGTTGGAAATGAGTTGCCATATTAGGAATATCACATGTAATGAGATGAAGTGAGGTTCTTGTAATTCCTTAGTATTATAACTTATATTTGATTTAAAGTAACATTATTGGATGAAATATAAAACCTCATCCAAGAGGAAGAACAATATAAATTACTACATATTGTAAGCCATACCCTATTTCACATCAGCGGATGGGTTGCTATATATAATTGAAGACATAATGAAACAACCTTACAAAACTTCTTTATTATACCACGTGATAAAAAATCATGCGATGAGAAATCATGTTCACTATTTTATTCGTATCATGTAAAACACATTGTGCACACTGACACAGTTAAACCCCTTAGAGAAACAAGATAAAGACTAACTGGGCACTCGATGTATGAAATGCAGGGCTACCAACACACGGCATAACTTGAGTGTTTGTCAGACTCCTTGGTCCAGTGTGTCATATTTTATAACACAAAAGGTGCAGATACTTTTTATACCGACTGTATAGCTCAGTACGTTCACTGTTACCTCCATTGACCCTCACACAATTTTAACTCCTTCCACCTGGGAGTTTTCATTCATTAACATGGTCTTCTGTGTCATCCATTCAACAGAAGAGGAAATGTGGGTGGAGATAAGCTGTCAAATTGGCAACTAGTATATTGCTTTATGTGAAGAGTACTTGTGTTTTGGAAAACTAATAAAACATAAACATAAATTAGTAATTAAATCATGCTAGCTCTAATGCAGATTCAGGTACAATGCACTGGCTTCAACATTAACTACTGTGATATAGCAAAGCTTCTCAGATTGTGTCTTTATGAGTATTTGTGCCAAAAATAGTTTACTAATAAAAATTCTGTTTGTGTAGGAGAAATAAAGTCAAGCAACTTGTTACTTCAATGAGTGCATAAATTGGGATAACTGAGAAGCATGGACAGCTTCAGATATATATTGTTTATGACACATTTACATATGAAGCCATGCAGGGTCAAGAAAATTCTTAAGCTATTTGCTTTGCTGGTGGGAGCAGCATTTCTAGGAGAATGTCAAGGCATTAAGAGCATTACTGTTCTATTTTACTTTTTTATTTTAATACTTGCTCAGTGTACTGTATAGTACCTTTTATACCTTGACTGTACATTATAGGTTCTTTCCCCTTGCCAGTCATAGTTTTGCTGACTAGAGGGGAATTCAGGAACAAGTCCCCATAGTTGTGCAGGGATTACATAGTACAGGGGTCCTCGTTATAAGTGATTAATAGGGACCCAAAAAAAGCCACTGATAATGAAACCAATGATAAAGGGGAAGTCATTCCCGTAAGAATTAATAGGAATAGGGCCTAATCAAGACCATTACATTGTAAGTGACACCCATAAACTTTAATTTGGTATCTTTTAACATATATATATATATATATATATATATATATATATATATATATATATATATATATATATATATATATATATATATATATATATATATATATATATATATATATATATATATATATATATATATATATATATATATATATATATGTATATATATATATATATATATATATATATATACACACATGTATACATACACACACAGTGATCCTCGTTAACTTAAATTTCGTTAATCTAATTACCTTCCATAAGATTCTTAACTCGTTAAAGAGCAATCCTTACGAGTACCAACATGTTTCGCTTGCACACTAGCTGTCATATTAGTCCAATACAGTAATCGGTTCTAGGGCTTAAATTCCTTATTATTTTAGTAAATATCAAGAAGTTTGTACTATTCAATAATTTTAAAAGTCTTATATTAAAATATTTAGTCATTTTAACAATTATTTAACATAATTTAAGTACAGGGAAACTAGTTTTTAGCACGCCAAACAGCCTGTCAACACACCATACAGGCCACTCTGTGTCTTTTCAGTGTAGGTAACATCTTGCTTCAGACTCTCTTCAACATAAACACTTTTTATCTGTGTTTCCAATCAAATTATTGGTCATTTTGAAATATATTTTACATATTGATAATATATAGCGCAGTGCAGTGTTGATTTAAAGAAAATAATGTTGAATTACACCAAGAGAACTAAAATTTTATGGGTGAAATGGTGGCATGGGGTGACTTTTCTTCCACCCCAATGCCTTCTCTTCTCCCTTTTCCTCCACCCCCATTCTAATTCCCATCATCATCAACATCATCCAGGAGCCTTCTACATACACACCTCAAAGTAAAGTACTTTGCCATCCATTTTGTTGACTTTAGGCAATTTTTGGCGAGCTGGAACCAATTACCTAAAAACCCATTGAAACAATGGTTTCAGTTAACGAATTTTTCGGTTAACGAGGAACCTCTGGAACGGATTGTGCTCGTTAACCGAGGGACCACTGTGTGTGTGTGTGTGTGTGTGTGTGTGTGTGTGTGTACGGTGGCGGTGTGTGTGTGTGTGCGTGGTGTGCGTCTGTGCGTGCGTGTCGCGGTGCGGCGTGCGTGCTCATACCAGCTGGATTCGTAAAATGCTACTGACACCACATACGAGGCACGGCAGTTTCCAATGAGGTTCACGGCCATCAGCTCGATGAACAGGCTTTGTGTGAAATATAACAAGAGTCTAGAACTGCTTTTAGTGTCCTTGTGGGCTAGCCGGTAAGCGCTCCCTAGTCCCACCCAGTAGGTCGAGGGTTCATTGCTTGCTGGTGAGGTCGTTGATTATATGTTCAAAGTCCGCATAAATGGACTAAAATGAAGTGTGTGTGTATATATATATATATATATATATATATATATATATATATATATATATATATATATATATATATATATATATATATATATATATATATATATATATATATAATCAACACTCAACCCGGCCAGATTCAACTCACGCCCACGAGCCATGACTGTAGATTGGGGAACGCTAACCGCTGGACCACCAGGATACTAAAAGCAGTCCTAGACTTTGTTATATTTCACAAAGCCTGTTCCCTGTCACAGTCATGGCCTGTGGGCGTGGGTTCAATCTGCAGGTTGAGGTGTTGATTGTATGTAGATGTCCATGTTTTATATATATATATATATATATATATATATATATATATATATATATATATATATATATATATATATATATATATATATATATATATATATATATATATATATATATATATATATATATATATATATATATATATATATATATATATATATATATATATATATATATATATATATATATATATATATATATATATATATATATATATATATATATATATATATATATATATATATATATATATATATATATATATATATATATATATATATATATATATATATATATATATATATATATATATATATATATATATATATATATATATATATATATACACAGTGTTTGGCATCGGTGTGTTGATGAGGCACAAGCTACCTTACTATGCACTCACACGCTCACTTCAGTGAAAGTGGTTCATTGAGACATGGTCACCACTTCCTGCGACAAATAAGTTCTAATTTGATGTCCATCCCACAGTTACTACACTTCCTTTTAGCTACTACACCACCTTGCTTCTGCAACAAAAATAGTCCACCAATGTCATCAAAGACACAACAAAGTTGATAATTATAGTTCTTGGAGCACTTCAAAATGATACTTGTGGCCACAGGCGACTGTTACTGAGTATGCATAGCACAGGGGAAAAGGATGACCTTAAAGAGAATGGGAGGCGGGTGGGAATTTCAATCGCTCAAACCCTTGTGCTCCCGAAGTTTGACGGATTTTAGCCTTAGAATCCTCTTAACTGCGGGTATTTTTTTGTGTGTAGGTCCACAAATATTTTGATCACTTAAGTGTGAAACCACTTATAATGAAGGCACTTATAATGAGGACCACTCAGGTCAAGAGATGCATGAGTGAATGTGGAGGGGAGGAGAGCCAGGGGCAAACCAAGATTGACATGGGGAAAGATTGGGAAATTACCTCAGAGTTGAGAACCTAATGAGACCATGCAGCTTAGAGAGCCGCTATCAGGCAGTCACGGATAACCCACGCTAGTGTGGAAAAGGGCCATAAAATGATGGTGGCGGTGATGTATTTTGAGCCCCCTCCCAGGACCCAGCAGCGTCAATGCTTTTTCACTCGTGCATTTTCAATTCCCCTAACAGTTTAATTTTTTCTTTCTGCAGTATTTTAAATACAAACATTATCATTCTACAGTATTTTCAATAGCTACTAACATTTATCCCTCTTCAGTATTTTCCCTCTCCAGTATTTTAATGTTCCCCAACCAATATAACTGTTTTCATCATCTCTGTGTTTATTTAGCATCACCCCCCCACCCCACCATATTTTCAGGGGTTTTATTTCCCATCTAACATTTAGCGAGTAAGTACTGTACTGGAATATGCAAAATACAGTACTGTAAGTACAGATAACTGATCATAATGTAGGAAAAATAATTGGTATTTTTTCAAATCCTACTTAAAGATTTTCTCTTCTCCATTATTTTCATGAGTAATAGTTGCCTTTAGGAGGCTCTACTAGGCTAAGCACCTGTGGCATGTGGGCATATGTATGCTAGAGGGATGTCATTATGGAGGAGCATATACAGTTTTGAGAAGATAGGAGTGAGTGTGCTTGAGAAGACTTCATTTTGATGTACAGATCGATTCATTTGCCCTTTTTTCAGTTTTAAATAATTTGTAATCTTTGTCATACTGTGTATGTCTTTATTTAGACTATTTTAGTTTACAATATGGTATAATGAATCACTCTAATCATGTAGAAAGTTTATTGGCTTATCCTTTAGGCTTACTGATGGGATTTGTCAGTAACCCAATTGCTCGTAGTTTATATTTTATAATTCATATTGTTTAATTATCCTTAACACATATTTATTCATTGGCAGCATTTCTGAAAGACAAGCTGGATAACTATGTTCAGGAAAATCTACCTAAAGTGAGGGTTGTCCATCTAGCAAAACGGTCTGGACTCATTCGAGCTCGACTGGCCGGTGCAAAGGTAGCAAAAGGAGATGTTCTCATATTTCTTGACTCTCATACTGAATGTACCACCAACTGGTTACCACCCTTGCTAGGTAAGTTGAATTTACATTACTAGAAATAATTTCAAGCTTTAAAACCTTAGCTATTATTTATTTTCTATTATTTTAAACTGCAGACCTTAAAGTTTGTCTCTGAAAAGCACTGCATGAGGAAGATCACCTTTCCTACTGCTGGAGTCATGTGGTGTAGATATCTGCATCCACACCTTGGTTCAGTTTATGTACATCATAAGAGGGAAATTTTTTGGTCAGTGAAACCACATTTAGACTGTAGTATATAATTTTGTCCTTTGTACATGATAATTGATTCTCAATTAAAATTAACCGAGTTCGGAATGCTGTATTTTGATATTATTCAACAGATCCAAATTTTTTTTTCAGTTATTCGTTTGTTTTCTGTTCAATTTTTGCACCTTATTCGGATCATTCCGAAGGGTTTTGCTCATTATTCCAACTAACAAACATACTCAGTTACCATGCCTTGGCTGCCACATAAAATGTTCTGCTTATTACTGTGCAAACATAAATATTTTTAAAATGTACATATTGTAGTAATAATAAATTTTTATATAATACAGTAATAAATAAATGTAACACTTATCATTGCAAGGTGAGCTGATAATAATATATAGATGATATTCCCAAAGTGTAATGGTCACACTGGTAAATAAAGTAAAAATCCACATTGGAGAAATATAATACAAAATCTTGGAGCTGGTATACTATAGTGCATTTTTTCTCAGCTGAGAAAAAATGCCCCGTCCCCTCCTCAAGAGTTACAGGTGATTGGCTGTTGCAAACCTGTCCGATTTTGTCCTGAGTAATGATGTACAGTCAACCCTCACTTTACACGGTCCCACATTCCGCGTTTCCACGTTTACGCGGTGCCCTGCCGGAACCCAGGATGCTCACATTCCTCGGTGCGTGTACCCCTTTACGCGGAGAGTGTCCGGCTCGACGCTATTTTTAGATTCGCCCCACCCGCCTGCTCCCTCCTCCTCCCTCCTCCGCCTCCGCCTGGCCAAGCCGCGTGGTAAGGTTGCGCAGTGCATGTCTCTGTTGCGTTATCACTGACGTCATATGATGTATTGGACTGTGATTGGCCATGCATCCCTACCTCCCTCCGCTGCTAGCTGTAATTGGTTTAAAGTAATATGACGTGTCCACCCGGGGGAGGGTGGGAGGGAGGAAAGACGACGCTTGACCTAGCCGCGGCAGTTTCATCCCTCCAGGCCACACCGTGTAATCGTGCATCCATTGTTCTGTAAAATGGCTTCCGCCGGACCACCGCCCCCAGAGAGAAACCTTTCCTTGCATGGACCCAGCCGCCCTAAGCCCAAGAAGACACGACGTTCCTTAAGCTACAAGGTGGAGTACAAGATCATCCAAGAGTTAGAGAAAGGAACAAGACAGGTTGATTTGGCGCGCCAGCATAGTGTGAACGAATCTACGATCCGGACGATAAAAAAGGATGCAGCCAAGATAAAGGAGCATATGAAGATCACAAAGTCTACAGGTGCTTCTATGATCAAGTATTTTCACAACCAGGTGCTTCTCAAGACGGAAAAATTACTTGTGAGCTACTTGGTGCGTCAGGCGCGACGGAACATGGCGGTCGACACGCGCTTTGTTAAGGAGTACGCACGTGAACTGTACATGGCAGTGGCACGAAAGATGGGAATTACAGAGCCCAAACCCTTTAATGCTTCCTCTGGGTGGTTACAGAGGTTTAAGATGCGGAACAAGATCACCAATATAAACATTGGTGGTGAAGAGGCTAGTGCTGACCGTGCTGCGGCTAGGGAATTTCCTCCGTTTTTACGTGAGATTATGGAGGAAGGACAGTACACCGACGACCAGGTGTTAACATGGACGAATCTGGTCTTTTTTGGAAAAAGCTACCTTCCAAGACCTTCGTTGTGAAGAATGCCAGCAAGATTCGGGGCCGGAAGATGCAGAAGGAGCACATCACCGTCCTGTTTACCACCAATGCCTCCGGTACCTGTAAGCTCAAGTTATCGGTGATCCACACAGCCCGCAAACCGCACGCCTACAAGAGCATGGACATGACCAAGCTAAATGTCCACTGGCTGACCGCACGTAAGGCGTGGATGTTCTCTACACTGTCCCTCTCCTGGTTTGATGACTGTTTCGTTCCCGATGTAAAGAAATTCTGTGAGCAACAGAATGTGCCATTCAAGATTTTGTTGCTGCTGGGCAACGCACCAGGACACTCGCCCCTACTGTTAGATCGTCACCCCAACGTAAAAGTGGTCTTCCTTCCTCCCAACACTATGTCTATATTACAGCCCATGGACCAAGAGTTAATCTGTAATGTAAAAGCTGCATTCTCAACAAAAAAATTCCAGCTCCTGAACGACTACACCAACACCAGGGAAGAGTTGCGTAACCTGAGTGACACCACCACCGATAGCAAGAGCGAAGAAGACGAGGATCAACAGTTGGCAGAGCAAAAAATACTTTTCAAACAATTCTGGAGAATATTTAACATCAAGAAAGCTGTGGACTTCTTGGTGGAGGCATGGGATCAGCTGTCTGAAGCAACTGTTCGTCACGCATGGAGACATGTGTTGCAAGGCATTCCGGGCGTAAGGCAGAGTCAATCTGTGCCTGGTGAGGTTCAGACTGTTGCAGTAGCAGTGGACCTTGCCAGAGAAGCTGCGCAGAGTGTTACAGCTGCAGGCTTCTCCGAGACCACCAACGACGACATCCTGGAGGTGATAAGGGATCCTGATGTGACTACCGACGAGATGGTAGATGATGATGACGTCAGTGAAGAGGCAGGTGGTGCGTCATCCCAAGAAGAACACCGCTTATCCCATAGTAATGTTAGGGGTGCCATCGAGTGTGTTGAGAAAATCAAGCTCCTCCTTTCCGACGACCCTGACGCAAACAGGTATGAAATCTTCACTACCCAGCTGTTGCAGACTATGGAGCCCTACTTCAAGGTTTATCACGACAACATAAACACCAGCCGTCAGCAAAGCATAACAGAGTTCTTCGCCTGCAACCCACCACAGCCAGCCCAAGCCAGTGATAGTGACAGAGGTAGAGACAGTGAAGATGACTTTGAGGGATTTGTCAGGGAGGCCATAACAAGTGTGGGTGACAGTGATGGTGACTCACCTGAGGGCCAGTAGCCTGCCCTCTGCCTCGGAACCAGCCTCCATCCCCGTATGCCGATCCATCTCTTCTACTAACGTATGTGTTCAACCCAACTTTTAGTTTTCCTAACCTAACCTTTATTTTTCCTAAATTAACCTTTATTTTTCCTAACCTAACCTCTTCTACATTACTTGTTTGTGCATACCATCATAAAGTTAAGATAAAATTTTTACTACAACATAGTTGTGTGTCGTCAAAATGTGGAGTTTGGGGGTCGGCCCGGTCTCTATTTCAATTAATCCCATATGTTATGTTGTTCACTTTACACGTTTCTCACTTCCCGCGGTACCCTGTGGGTTATATTAACCGCGTAAAGTGAGGGTTGACTGTATTTCTAAATGTTTCTATTCATAATGACGTTTCTAATGAGAAAGATATTTAACTAAATTATATAAAGATACAAACCTTCATTATTTCAAACAGGAGCATGAAGGAAGTTTATCAGAATTATTATACGTGAATTAACTGATAAACTTGGGTAGCAAATTGACACTTTCGGAGGGTGCATTTAATATATACTTACTTTTACCCACAATAAGACAAACTAAGAGAAATTATATATCAGTAATGTTACATTATGCAAAAACTAACATTGTAAAATATCAGAATCACATCAAAATATTACTCGACCGTCAGCAGAGGCGGGAAATATGACTGCGAAAAACTTCATATTTTTCCCGGCTCTGCTAACGGTCCTGTAATATTTTGATGTGATTCTGATCTTTAAAAATTTTGTTTTTGCATAATGTAGTATTACTGAAACATAATTTGTCTTGGTATGCCTTATTGTGGGTAAAAATAAGTATATATTAAATGCATCCTCCGAAAGCGTCAATTTAATACCAGAGTTTAACAGTTAATTCACGTCTGATACCTCTGATAAACTTCCTACGTACTTATGCTTGAAATAATGAATGTACAGTATGTATATTTATATAATTTAGCTAAATATCTTTATCGTCAGAAACGGTCATCCCAACGATTATGAATAAACTCAATTAGAAACACATCATTACTTCAGGACAAAATCGGACAGGTTTCCAACAGCCAATCAGCTGTAACTCTTGGGGAGGGGGCGGGGCATCTTTTCTCAGCTGAGAAAAAATGCACTGTAGTACATTCCTTCTTCAGGCAACCAACAGAACAAAGCAAGGGAGAAAGACATAGAACATGGGAATCAGGACACATGTCCTGTCTCTTGAGTTGAGGAAAGGTGAGGATTAGGTACAGTATAATCTTCTCCATGACAGTATGGCAGGACCAGGTCCAGGGTCCACTGACCATATGCCAGGTTAAAGTTAGGTGTAGAAGTAATAAGTGAAGATTAAAAGGAATTTCTATTGAAGCTGGCAGTAACCCCCCCACTGCACGGGGGGATAAATCAAGAAAAAATCTACTTTTCCAAAAATACTATAAAAATTATTAAAAAATAAATAAAAAATTAAAAAACTACAGTCTCTCCTCAACTTACAACAACCCGGACATACGACAGCCCTGTCTCTTCCTTTGCTTCATCCAATTAATGTAGTCTCCATGCTTAATTAAAAAATTATTGATGCCCCGTGTGCATTCAGCTGACTACATAAAAGATAAGTGCACAGTAACACTTTATTCATTTTTCATTATTGATTACTTTTACTGGTCCCTCGGCTAACGAACACAATTTGTTCCAGAAGGTCGTTCGTTAACCAAAAATTTCATTAACCGAATCCATTGTTTCAGTGGGATATTGGGTAATTGGTTCCAGCTCACCGAAAAGTACATACAAAGTATGCAGTAAAGTACACTTACTTTGAGGTGTGCATGTAGAAGGTTCCTGGTTGATGATGATGATGGGAATTAGAAGTGGGGGTGGAGGAGAAGGGAGAAAGAAGGAAGTGGTATGGAGGGAAAATCACCTTCAGTGGACCCATGCTTGATGCCTTATTTCACCAATAAAATTTTAAGTTCACTAGGTGTAATTCAAGATTATTTTCTTTAAATCAACACTGCACTGCGCTTTATATTATCAATATGTTAACTAAAGTTTAGAATGACCAATAATTTCAATGAAAACTGCAAAAATATTCAAGACACCAACAAAATAGATGCTCTCTCCACAGAAAACAAAGCCAGACTGACGCCTGGTGACCGACCCACGCATCTGATGGGCGCACAACTAACTAGTTCCCTGTACTGCATATATTATCAATATGTTAAATATATGTTAAAATGACTAATAATTTTAATATAAAACATCCAAAAATATTAAAAAGCTCAAATTTATTGATATTTAATCCATTGGAAACAAATTTAAACTTAGAACAGATTACTGAATTGGCAGACTGGGCCATCAGCTGACCAGCTGATGCTCACAACAAAACATGATTTTCGTAAGTATTTCGTTAATAAAATTTTTTTTCGTTAACCGAATTGAAGATTCTTATGGAAGGTAATTCGTTAACCGAGGCATTCGCTAACAGAGGGACCACTGTACTGTATTTCATTTTAGAATTTCTATGTATTATTTTCGCCTTTTCGGCTTACGACCTGGTCGTCGAGACGGAACCCGTCGTAAGTCGAGGAGAGACTGTAATAAAAAAAAAGCTGAAAAATAGGCGGACGTTCTGGAATGTCACCTGGGACCTAAGGGTTAACCGGAACTCTCCTATGACCGGAATTGAAATTTTCTTGGAAAATCGTTCCCAAAGCTGGAATTTTCCAGAAAATAACGGGTTATTGTTAATAATAATATAAAAATCGTTGATGTTAATACGACTGCGACTTTATAGTAATAACTTACAAGCACCTCACCAGGGATCACACGCAACACCACTGCCAGGCGACCAGGCAAATACACGCGGCAAATTTAAACTGTCTTGACCGCATTATTTAAAAAATAGGTGCGCGTACCTTATGTTTTGGTAGTAATTGAACGATCGCATTATTCCAAAAAACGCTTAAATCAAACGAGCGTAAAACGCGAGTTACCTGTAATGATAAGTAGGAATCTTAAGCCAAGTAAACAATGTGTATTTGCTTGAAACAAGGCTAATAAAGTAAGTGGTTTCACACAAAGGAGTGTTAGTTACAAGACTAGAGAGGTCATCCTAAAACTATATCTTGCGCTTATGAGACCTCACTCGGATTACACAGTTCAATTCTGGTCACCGTATTACAGAATGGATATAGAATCCCTAGAAAGAATTCAGAGGAGAATGACAAGACTAATCCTGGGCATTAGGAACCTTGAGTACAGAGACAGGTTAAAGCATCTTAATTTGCACTCCCTCGAGAGACGTAGAGTGAGGGGCGATATGATAGAGGTGTATAAATGGAAGTCAGGGTTAAATAAAGGGGACATTACAAAAGTACTCAAACTGTCCAACCAGGAGCGAACCCGTAACAATGGTTTTAAATTAGACAAATTTAGATTTAGGCATGAAATATGTAAACATTAGTTTGGAAATAGAGTATTGGACGAGTGGAACAAGTTACCAAGCATCATCATTAACTCGAATACGCTGGATAGTTTCAAACATAGGTTGGATGGATATATGAGCAATAGGGGCTGGGTGTAAATGGGACTGCCCCGTATGGGCCAATAGTCCCGCTGCAGTTTCCTCCATTCTTATGTTCTTATGTAATAACCTGAGCTTATTAATACACGTAGTACCCTTCATATACAATACAGTATAGTACTATGTATATACCTCATAGGTACAAAAATAATGTCATTCAAGACATATTTAGGTCATAAGACCCACTAATGCCCCCCCCCACCCAACACTGGGCGACCTGACGGTGCTTCAGGTCAGGTTAGTAACGTGACCCAATAATCTCCCACCCAACCTTCATCACAAGTGTTAGACATGATTAGTTAAGTAATACAGTCAATTGAGTTAAGTGTGTAACAGAGACGTGATGATCGCCCAAGCGATAACGAGCTGATCAGTGGTGAAGAGGATAAAAGTAACAGTTCTACCCTGTAATCACCCCCACATCATATACTGTACAGTGGAGCTTTTGTTTTTTAAATATATTTATTTAACCAAACTTTTAGATAAAGTTATCAGGATTATTTTGATAAAAAAAATGGTGTGTAACTAAATTAGAACTGATTTTACTGACTCCGGTATCAACATTTCTTAGTTTTTTTTATAAGAGAATAGAATTCTCATCACTACAGCAGTACCCCGATTTACGCGGTCAATTGAACCCACAGGGTACCGCGGAAAGTGAAAACCGCGTAAAGTGAACGACAGAACATATGGGATTAATTCCAATAGAGACTGGCCTGACCCCCCAAACTCCACTTACCTATGTTGTAGTAAAAATAACATCTAAATTTTATGATGGTATGCTCACACAATTAATATTTAAGAGAAATACAGTCGCCAGGTTAATGTCCTTTCAAATAATGGACTCAAATCCCCCGCCCCCCCCCTCTTCCCAGCTCACTCACTCCTACCTCTCTGATTAATGTTTGGGTGAAAACTCTAGATTTTAACGTTTAGTAATAAATAATACCTCAGACTAAAGTTAGGTTAATATAATTGACATTTCTGGATTCCTTGCAGGACAGGGAATATTTTGAATGTAAACTTCATATATTTTGCACAAAAGATAAAATATTTGCTTTGTGTAAACCAAATTATTACTTTAGATCTAAAATTTGTATGTCTAATGCAAAATCCATGATGTTTATATTCAAAATGATCATCATATTGTAAGAATTCCAGCAATGTAAATTATACTCTGGCCGGGTAATTTGTATGAATTTTATGAGCTAAATAAAAAAAAAAAAAATACTTCACCGGGTATATGAGTAGATGCACCGCGGAAAGTGAAAGTCTGGTTCTAATAATAATAATAATAATAATAATTGACTGTTTATTGAAAAAGTTCTGCAGCCCGAAGGCTGAAAATATACATTGGACATCAATGACTTATTACATACATTGGTGGTTTAACAAAAGCCTTCATTTGAGAAAGGTAAAGGAACATACAGTGCAAACACGTAGTGTAGTAGTTCCCTCACAGATGGTGTTATGAGGGGCCTCACGTGGTGTAGTAATTCCCTCACAGATGGTGTTATGAGGGACCTGACGTGGTGTAGTAACTCCCTCACAGATGGTGTTATGAGGGGCCTCACGTGGTGTAGTAATTCCCTCACAGATGGTGTTATGAGGGACCTGACGTGGTGTAGTAACTCCCTCACAGATGGTGTTATGAGGGACCTGACATGGTGTAGTAATTCCTTCACAGATGGTGTTATATGAGTGAGGTGTGGTCCCAGGCCTTTCTATCGTAGACGGATTAACACATCGCTGGTTGTTGTTGGGTCTCACGGGCCGTTATCACTGGGTACCTGGGACCTCACTGTGTGAAGGTTAACTTGGGTACGACTGTTACTGTTGAGTTGTTCTCACTGACTTAAGCACTGTTCACCACTGTTCACCTCTGTTTAACACTGGTTCCACTGGTTCTGGCAAGGTACCGCGTAAATGAAAAATCGCGGAAAGTGAAACCGTGTAAAGTGGGGTAATACTGTATATCATATAGAAATATTTTGTTTAGGGTAAGGATATCTTATTGGAAATGTTTCGTGGAGAATTTATTAATGATTATTATGTTATCAAATTCATCTCCTTATCACAATTAACCATGCTTGAGTGAGGAAGGGGAGGGGGAGAAAACTGACCCCCCCCTCCCCCAAAAAAAAAAAAATATTCAAAAGTTGACTCCCACACTCTTCAGCAAAACATTACACACACCCACCCACCCCAACATCACACCCTCCCCACACACGCACCCACAGCCTCCAACACACCTCACATTCCCCTAACAAGGGAATTAAGACAACAGTCATAAGGAGAGAGGGTCTTATTGTGTGACATATTTACGTGTGTGTGACAGCGAGTTAACTATCAGCTGTTGGGGAGTGCTTGCCAACGCTCATTTCCACTCCATCTCTCTAATCACCCACACCTTTCTGCTTTCTCACTCCATATTTTAAAATATTATGTAATGTAATGTTGAAGGGATACCACTTTGCTCACTTATACTTATACTTATCACAATCTCTAAAAATACTTTAGGTTTCGTGTTTATTCAAGACATCTTCAGGTCATGAGACCCACTAATCCCCCGGCCAAGAAAGGGTGACCTGACATTCCATCAGTAGGTCAGTAATATGTGACCACTAATCCCACACCCTACCTCCACCTAACATTGAGTCAGGTCAGGTACATGAGACCCACTAATCCCCCACAGCTCCATGGGAGTAGAACATAACAGTCTTTATTGTAACACACCACCTCATTCACTCCCATATCTTGTAGATTTTAAATTTTCAAATATATTTATTTTACAAAACTTTTACATAAACTATTCTGGATTATTATTGTAAAGAAATGAAGTTTATGACTTAATTAGAACTGCATTTACAGACTCCTGTAGTTTAGACTCAAAGAAAACATTCCAGCACCCAGAAACATTCTGGGGAAGTGGGCTAGTGTCTGTGTGTGCATGATGTCTAGTTTAGACACTCGGAAACTTTTCCCAGTAACCGGAAAAGATTCCGGGGATAAGGAATTTTTCCGGGTTTGAGGAGGTCGTCTGGTTAGCTGGAAATCTCTCATCCCCGGAAGTGCTCTGCTCCAATTGTTCCGGCTAACGGGGATATCACTGTACTCTGAAAATTCCGAGGATGAGGAATTTTTTTCCGGCTATGAGAGAGTTGTCTCATCACCCGGAAATTTCTCATTCCCGGAAGCGCTCTGCACCAATTGTTTCCGGCTTGATATAAACAGTTTCTTATTTCCCATCCACAGAGCCTATTGCTAAGGACTATCGAACCTGTGTTTGTCCATTTATTGATGTGATTGACTTTGAGACCTTTGCATATCGAGCCCAAGATGAAGGAGCTCGTGGGGCATTTGATTGGGAATTGTTTTATAAACGATTACCACTGCTGGAAGAGGATAAGAAGAATATGCCAGAGCCATTCAAGTGAGTATTTTTTACTCTTTGATCATGTTATGGCAGCACTTTATTCAACACTTCAAAATTTTCATTGTAATTTAAGTAGAGCAAGTGGAGGTCCAGAAAACATTAAGAAATGACAAGAGTTTGAGTACCATGTGCTAAATGGCTTTATGATGGAGTGTTTTTCCAACTTTTAGGTAAGATTGGCGAGTTCATATATTTCATAGTATTGTAGTGATAAATAAAGACTGAGAGTAGTAGAAATGGACAACCTGGGAAATATTGTATGATTTTGGTGAATTAATAATGAAAGGAATGAAAGAGTGAAAAGAATATGTTAGGTTGCAAAATTCTTTTAGAGCTGAATGTATATGAATACATTATTAGTGAGTGATGAATGCGATTTATGACAGCTCGGTCGGAGATGTGAAAATAAAGAAAAAGTAAGGGCAGGTTATACACAGTGTCAGGTTAGATAATTTATTTGTTTATTTCATGTTATGGTTATGTACTAATAAATAGGGATGATTGCAGAAACAACCAATAGTGGTGACTTTTTTCCATTAAGATTAATGGAATAAGGAGAGTTGTGTTCCTGTTTGTTGCTGACATCATTCATCTGACAAAAAAATAAAAAATTTGTAAGAAATAATATAAGGTTGGGTTACATTCTAATTCATTTCCACTGTCCCCTGTGATATCCAGACAAAGAATGAACAAGTACAGTACAGCTCCTCCCCTACTTACGACGGGGTTAGGGACCCAAATCCAGGTCGTAAGTCGAAAATGCTTAAATAATGCATAGAAAATCTAAAATGGGTCTCTTTTTCTTCTCAGCACCACAAAACTCTAACTTTTAAGCTTGCCAGCCATTTTAAAGTGAATTACAAACGAAAATTTTGTCAGTACACAGCGCAATCACTGACGTTGGGACTCGAAAATACGTAATTTGACAAAATTTTGGTACGAGTGAGGCGGTAGTATGTCCGGGTGGTCGAGTAGGTCGTAAGTCGGGAAGGAGCTGTAATTACAATAGACCCGCGATATAATGTGAGAGTGGGACCGAGAATTGTCGTGCAGTATTGAACTGTTTTATCATATGTATTTCAATGGGAAATACAGGGTACAGGACCACAGTCCCAAAATAAAGTAAACCCTCCCAATATTGGACTAGCTTTTGCAAGCCTGGTCCATTATTAGGAAGATTCTGTTAATGGGAGGGTTTCCTTTATCCCCATTCCTGAACATCAAAGCACACATATTGCATGGTAATAAATATTGCATTGGTTATAGAAGTTCAACTTGCCATGATTATTTCCTCTAAGCATATTTTACAAAAAAGGCCTATTATCATATTTCATAAATTACTACAATATGTTCAGTTGCTTCATTCAAATTAACAGCATTTTTAAAATAAAAAATTTGTACACTACTTTGAGTAGCCTTTATTAACAGTTTCTTTCACCATATCATATGAGTTTCTAATTCCATTTATTTAGTATACCGTATTCTTCGGCTTAAAAGACTCACTTTTTATGGCAAAAATGTACCTCGAAAATTACCATGCGTCTTCCAGGATGCTAGTCGATGAGTTGTAGCAGAGGTTTTTGAAATCAGCCCCTTACAAAGACTGTTACCTCATTACAGTACTTAACAATTACAAGGATTCTCTAACAGTACTATAAAACTGTTGATTTAACTAATATTGTTGATATATTGCAAAAAAAAAAAACCCTTGCTGCTGTGTGGTTTGTTTACTAATGGCAGTGGTGCGGCAGCGCCATCTATTGAGGAATTGCTGAAGGTTGTCTGCTGGTCTCAAATGCAGGAATGTTTGTTTCTTTATATGTAGGCTCTCATATTTGGACACCTATTTACAGTAGGCTCTCATATTTGGATACCCATTTAGACTGTAAAGACCCCACAAAATTAAAATCTTCCAAATTTAAATACAACTTCGTCATCCAAGTAAAAACACACACACAACAACATTGGCTGTCCTTATGTTTTCAACTTTACTATCACTGGTGGGTAGAATTTTTTTTTTTAATTCAGAAACATTAATTAAAATATATATGAACAGTAAATAAGTGTTGCTTTCATATTCTTATGTAGAGTAATGATGATATGTTTACACATGTGCTCACTTACATACACCATCTCACTTTTTTTTACCCTTAATTGTTAGCTGCTTCCATTGTTCCATTTATTAACATTAAATAACATTACTTAAAACAACCATATTAATTTTACTACAGCTAAACTCAGGGTCTTATTTTCTTCAGTTTTATATGTAGAACCAATCAGTCACTGGTTTTGTAAACAACAAAAACAATGACGTCTCGTCTCCTCATGTGTTTTAATATTCTTCGTATTATTAATGGATTGTATTGTTCAATTTGCACACATAAACAATAATTCAATCAAAAAGAAATTCAGAAACATTAATTAAAACATATATGAACAGTAAATAAGTGTTGCTTTCATATTCTTATGTAGAGTAATGATGATATGGTTACACATGTGCTCACTTACATACATGACCTCACTTTTTTTTACCCTTAATTGTTAGCTACTTCCATTTATTAACATTAAATAACATTACTTAAAACAACCATATTAATTTTTCTATATTAATTTTAATGCAGCTACAATGGAGGACTTATTTTCTTCAGTTTTTTAATTATGTAGAACCAATCAGTCACTGGTTTTGCAAAAAACGAGTTGTTTTTTTACTTTTATTTTGTTTTTAAATAAAGATTTTTTGTTTTATATAGACGTTGATATACATGTTTACATTTGCTTACCTTCTACTGTTGGAAAGTATTTCCCGTCGTTGTCATACCGACAAAAACAAGAGAAAGAATGTAAACACTACAGCCCCTAAGATGTGGAGGTGACCAGGTGTATAAAATGAGTGCTGTATTAAAGATTTCACCTTCTTATACAGACTTCTTTTTTTTTTAAATTGATGAAAATGACGACTGATAAGCAGTTCTAAGTGATGATATTCAAAGAGGTGTGTGTACTTGTGCCAAAAGGGCTGTATATCAAGCAACGGTTACACTGGTGTAGGTATTAGGCAGCTAATGTACCAAACAATGAGGTACTACCGTCTGGGAAGCTGACAGAGCGTAAAGTATATCACGGCCTATAAGATGAAATTTGAACATTAAAAAAATCTGCCCAAAGTTAGGGGGTCGTCTAAACCACCAAGTTTAAAATTCTTACCTCTTAAATATTGTGGTTTAGTGTGTCAAGAGTGGTGATGAAAACATCGTAAGCCACTCACAAGGTCTTACCACTAATTATTTTATACTGAAACTTACGTTTGGCAAGCTGGATTCAAATTAAGATTACCGGTATATTAAAATAATAAAAATGTATTATAAACCTGTCTAACATACCGTAAAAGAGATTTATACCCCTGTAATAAACACAGCTATCATCACACACCCCTCCCCACGCCCCCCCCATTTGCCAGTGAGGAGACAAGAAAGGAAAAGTGCATTAATTCTTGAAACTATCGACGGTTAATTACAGACGCTCAAGTGACGTCACTAGTGTTTACACTACACCAGCTGGTAATATTTGATGCCATTACTTGAAGTGAATTGGCCTTATTTTAAGTAACTAACTATAAATAAATACAAAAATTAAAAAAAAAAGATCAAAACTGAGAAATAATATACTGTATGTATGTTGTGTTGTCAAAGTAAGAGGAACAATTGTGTAAGTACGTAATATTTTTTCACTCAAATCCTAATGAAACACTACTGGAGAACATTCCTTTGTCGCAAAACAGTTTATAAATTAAAGAAAATAATTACAGTGTGTTTAATATATTACAGTATATTATAAATAAATAAATAAAACAAATAATTAGGTAAATCTATTTAAAGTAAATGGAAAATAAGCAAACATGTTATTTACCAAGACCCTTCCGTCTGGCTCAGGGTGAGATGGAGGGGAGATAACAAGCTATTTATAGCCCATCAGAAGTGACCAGTACCCTAATGCACCATAAATAATTCATTGAACATTCATTTTTTGTACATAGTATATTCAGTATATATATATATATATATATATATATATATATATATATATATATATATATATATATATATATATATATATATATATATATATATATATATATCAAGTAAATGGAAAAATTTTACTCGACACAGACATTAGTTCCAGTTACCGGTAAATAGCAGACGCTTCAGTGACGTCACTAGTGTTTACACTACACCAGCAGGTAACATTTGATGACATTACTTGAAGTGAATTGGCCTTATTTTAAAAAACCAAGGATGGTTGGTAAAGGACTACTGAGTCAGTGGGTAAGTGTCACATTTGGGGTACTGGTCTTATACCGTAAATGGGAATATTCTTTTAAATAAATTTAGAAATGCTGCCATATCCTAAACCGTGATGTCGATAATACATTATCTAATAAAAAAAAAAATGGAGCCCTGCTGCTATGACCAAGTCCCAGGTTGATGATCCGGCTTTCTACAAGGTCTCAATTGTTTCTCTTGTCCTTGTATACATACAGGTATAATTGACTCTCCTTAATGTTTTCTGCATTTTTTTTTTTTATTCTTATTAATATTGTATATTCAATATTAATAATATTATTATTATTATTATTATTACATTTCCTTCATTGATATTAGGTCATTATTTTCTGGGTGTTAGCCCGTAATTTTTTTTTTTTTTAATTTCATTTCCAAAACCAGGGTGCGTCTTCCACGATGCAGCGTCTTCCAAACCGAAAAATACGGTACATCATATTTTATTAAAAACTGTTCTTAGAGATGCAAATCTCAGAGGATTGGTAAAAACAGCCTGGAAATGTTGAGAGTGGAGGACAGTTGTTGCCAACCTTCAGATATGAGGATGCCACTTCTGATTGATCGATAGGTTGGAAGTGATGCATGTCAGAACAAAGTTTTATTAAGTATTATCTTACGCTGCATCAGAATTTTGCCCACCCAACATTTCTGGCAATGACA